GACTGGGCGGTCACTGACGACGCCATAGGTATATTACATCGTGCATTACGACCTCAGCCACAACCCGCCGAGATCACCAAGGACCGCGGCGCCACCATCATGCACCCCAAGGACCTGATTGACAGCAAGGTGGACACCTGTGGACGACTCTGGGCACCCGAGGGAGCTACCAATATTGGCGGCCTGCAGGAGTGCTTCCACCGCATCGTCGAACGAATCCAGGAGTGCCCGCTGCCGCCCATCACCAAACACGAGGTGCGACAAGCCATCAAGCGTCTCAAAGCCAATACTGCTTTGGGAGCTGACCGACTTCGACCAGCCGACCTTCATCGACTACCAGACAATGCACTCAGCGAGCCCGCCGAGCTGTACAACATTGCAGAGCAGGTACAGATGTGGCCCCATCAACTCCTTCACACCATCGGCGTCATGAGGGCCAAGAAGGATAACGGGGATAGGATACTCGGCATCATGACCATCATCGCTCGGCTCTGGTCCCTCATCAGGGAACCCTACGTACAGGCCTGGAACAGGGAGTATTTCGCCCACTGGGATGCCATCGCCAAGGGGAACTCTGCGTTCCGCGAGGCCTACGAGCGCAGCCTCCACGAGGAGGTGGCCGCCAAGCTCGGCATCACGCAGGCTCACGGCCTCCTCGACGTATCGCAGTTCTACGATTCCATACATTGGACCACCCTCATCGACGAGGCCCTAGAGCTCAATTTCCCGCCCGAGATCTTGGGCTTAGAGGTTTTACAGCGCACGGCACCACGCACGCTCATGCAGAGCGGCGCCTACGCCGATGCCATCCAACCCACACGCGCAGCGGCACAAGGGCTGCGGTCGGGCACTCGTTTCGCCAGGATCATGACTTACAAGGCCTTGCTCCATGCCACCACGTGCCATCCCCAGGCACGGCACCGCATCTGGGTCGACGACCTGTCGCAGCGCATGCAGGCCAGCCGACGCGCCCTGCGCGTCGACATGGTTCACGTTCTTACCGACACCTGCATGGCGCCCCAGGACTACGACCTCAGCATCGCCAAGAAGAGCGCCATTGTATGCACACACATCCAGGACGCCAGGTACATAGTCAAGGCCATGCGCATGGAGGGATACCCCATCCAGCCACGCGCGCAGGCCGCATACCTGGGGGCCGACCTCAGCTGCGGCACCAGGCAGGCGCGCGCCACCACCACCCAACGACGTCTACGGCACCGAAACATGCATGTCAAGATCGGCAGGGTAGCCCGAGTCACCAAGCGATATCACGTTACACCCCGTCTGGCCATCCAGGGCGGGCTCGCAGCAGCCAACTATGCCCACCAATTCTACGGCACATTTGGGACGGCCATGACTACTTGCAGGCGGCGTCTGGGAGACGCGGTCGGACCACGGCTACGAGGACGGCGTTTGACCACTCTTCCCGACCTCAAGGCTGCAGAACGCGACCCAGCACGAAAATTGCCGCGTGAATCCGTCGTTGCCTGGCTCACAGCGTGGACTTCCAACCAGCAGCTCCACCATGCCATCAACAGCACGTGGGCAAAGATCGTCGAGCATTTCAAGCGCATCCCAGCAGCCCAGCGTGTCCGACACATACGTGGCCCACAAGCCACCATCATCCACTACCTCACGCAGGTGGGGTGGGACCCAGCACGACCGACTCAATGGCACATGCCTCAGACAGCGGGTCTCAGCGGGGACTCATGGGTGATTGACGTCACTGAGCTCTCAGGTTCCCCCGACGCCGACATTCCGCATCAGCGCCTACTCGACATCGACACCAGCATCTGCCACCAACTGTGGACTTGCGCGAGCAAGCACCATGGAGGCGAGGGCCTACAGCATGGTGTGGACAACAGGTCCTACCGCAGGCTGATCACCGACTTAGAGCGCATGCCACAAGGAATGAGGTTGGCCAATTTGATGCCCACCATTGCTACGGGCGCCATGTGGACACGACAGCGAGTTTTTCAGGGGACACAGAGGCCAGACGTTGACGCCAAGTGCCCCAGGTGCGGCCTGGCCAATGAGGACGATTTCCACCGCGCCTGGGAATGCGAAGGCAATCAGGACAATCCCATCCTTCAAGGCACCAACTATTTACGATCAGAGGCCTACGCCCAGCGGGACATGTACGAATGTTTCTAGGTCAGGGGACTAATGCCAGCAGCATGGACGGCAGTGCCACAACCGCCACAACATGAACGGTGGTCCTGCCATGGTTTCGAGCGCTTCTTCCCACAATGTCTACGTGACCACGCTGATTCGACACGTTACGCCTTCGGCGATGCAAGCGGCGGCCAGGACACCAACAACCCACAGCTTCGGAGGGCGGGTGCAGGAGCCGCCATGTTCTCCAGCCTCGAGGACAACGACATGGAGATGAGCGATGCTTTCTGGTGGCCGTTACCTGGTCCTCATGAGACGGTACCCAGGGGCGAGCTCCTCGCTCTCGTCGCGACGGCGGAGGCTACAGATCAGGACCTCGTCTTCTTCACCGACAACGAAGCCTGCTATATCAATTTCCATCACGGCAAGGCCCAGGAACCTACTGGCAGCGACGCCGACCTCTGGTTGAGACTGAAGAAGGCGACTGCGCAGCGCACTGGGACGATCACAGTTATCTGGATACCTCCCCACGCCGAACCACAGGACATCATCCAAGGGAGGATCGCTTCGTCTTTGGCGGTGGGCAATTGCGTTGCAGACACTCTTGCTGGCATTGCCGCCAGTGAGGCACGGGTTTCACCTGAACACCGCCAGCGGGCAGCGCTGGCTGAACAAAAAGCTTTTCAGGTCCGCATGAGGTTACTTCGTACTGCACCCGACACCCCCGAGGCCCAGAGGCAGGAGCTTCAGTGTCAGAGGGAGCAACGCCGTAAGAGGCAGGCGGCTAAGGCCGACCGACCGCCTGCCCCTCGTTATTGTGCTCTCTTTGGGTCCCAGCACCCTGTCGACCCCACTGGCTCCCAGTGTACTAGGTGCTTTTGTTCCTCCAGCAAGGCTTCGAGGTCTAGTTGGCTCCTTTCGGAATCTATTGAGCTTCTTAACATTGACGGCACTTATAAGGAGGCCCCTCAGGGGAAGTCGGTCCATGTCGCGGGGGGGGGTCGTGCACAGTAGCCACCGTTCTCGGTTCCACGCTGGGCTGAATTTGTGGTTCTGTGTCAAGTGTGGAGCTCATGCTCAGTTGGTTCTCGGGAAACTCGGGGAACCTTGCGGCAAGCTCACCCCCTCGGGGCAGGAATACCTCAAGCGCATTTCCAAGGGGCTCTGGCCGAAGGCCCTCAGTCGAGCTGAGAAGGCTTCCAGAGCTCACAGCACCCCAAGAGGGGTGGCGGAGGTCTAATTATCTACATCGCTACGCGACCAGGCAGAGACTCCAGAGACTCCTCCTCCTCCTCCTCCTCCTCCCCCTCCTCATCCTCCCCCTCCTCCTCCTCCTCCTCCTCCTCCCCCCCCTCCTCCGCCGACTCCTCCTTCTCCTCCTTCTCATCTTCCTCCTCCTCCTCCTCCTCCTCCTCCTCCTCCTCCTCCCCCTCCCCCTCCCCCTCCTCCTCCTCCTCCTCCTCCTCCTCCTCCTCCCCCTCCTCCTCCTCCTCCTCCCCCTCCTCCTCAGGTGTCGCTGATGATGATCGCCCCCCCCGTTCTCTGAGAGATGCTCAATAACCCCTTTCAGCCAGGCCACTGGGAGAACCCCGCGGCTGGCCCCCTTTTGCCTTCACAGAACCAGCTACTCCTCGACGGGCTGTCGGCCGACGGGTCGGAGACCTTGCACGGCATCGCTGTCAAGCAAGGGCAGCGAGAGTCGGCAGCACCATACGCAGCTGCCAAGGCAGCGCCCGTGGCAAACCAGCAGCCCAAGCCCGAGGCCAGCCTCCACACCAGGGCCTCTCAGGCCCAGTCGAAGATACGCCAGCTCGAGAAGAAGCTCACCCGTGAGCTGGACAAGCTCGAGAAGTGGCAAACTGATGTCATCGCCCTCCAGGCCAGCATCGCTGAAGTCGCCAGCGAGCTGGACGAGAAGGAGGCCCGGTACAAGCAGCTGGTGATCCAAATCCGCGACGATGTGGCGGCAGAGGATTCGACCGAGCCCAAGGCCCCGCCTTGGTGGTGGAGCCCAAGGCCCCGCCTTGGTGGAGGGCAATGTGCCCCCCCTCCCCGATTCATCCCCGCCGCCCCCGCACATGACGCACGCGAGGCTTGGATCAACTGCCCCCTCCAGCCCCTGAGGCGGCGCGCGCCCGCCGCAAGTCCGCGGGGCGCCCAGCCAGAGTGGCGCCCAGTCGGTCCGATCTGTATGTTTGTTGTTGTTGTGTTGTTTTATCTCTCTCTCTCTCTTTCTCTCTCTTTCTCTTTCCTTATATATATACACACGCTATGTATAGTTATCTCTCTCTCTCTGTCCCGCTCTCTTTCTCGGGCCATGGTTCACTGGATGGGCTTGCCCATTGCAGGTCGGCCTGCGTGGCATCCGCGCTCTGCTCTGTCCATCCCCCAAAAGGAAGTAACAACTCTTGAGGCCCTCTTGAGTGTCATATTGGGGCCTCTTGGCGCGAGGGCGTCGTGGGTCGTCTTGAGGCCAGTTTGGATGTTTCTGAGGCCTATCTGGCGCGTTGGGGACGCCGCGGGGCCACGTTAGAGGGCGCGCAGGTCATTTGAGCAGCCACAGGGGGTGGATGTGGAGATTTCGAGGATTTCGGAGGCGCGCTGAAGAGCTCGCATCTCCCTTACTTTGAGATGTTCGACCACATTCGAGGGAGAACGAGACAGCCAAATATCCTGCACGCCATTCTACCCCCAGCAAGCAGTGGTCGGCGTAGCCATTTTGGCTCAAGCCACATCGGCTCAAGCCATTGACTACTCAAGCAAACCGAGCTTCTAACAATCAGCTCTTCCGCTTGGCGGCACGTGGTCACTCACGGTTGCCACGCTCTCTCACGTCCCTAGCCAACAGCGACCCGATGGCGTCATGGGGCGGCAGGCACGGACAGGGCTCTCGTGGCTCTTACGTTTCGGCCTCGCCTACCACATCGGAGTGGAAGCGGGACCCGTCGGGCGCCCGGCACTATGTGGGCCACCGCGCTTCCCCGAGCACGGCTCCCCGGGCGCGGGCGCGCGCGGGGTGCCGCAGCAGCAATCACACCGAGAACGCATGCAGCACCAGCGGCATGCGCAGGTCGCGGGCGGACGTTGCGAAGGCGGCGGCCCAGTCATCGCCGCCGCCTGCGCCCAAGCCGCCGGTCAACAACGTTTCCCAGCAGCTCCAGGCGGTTGCGGCGGAGCTGTCACAGGCAGCCGGCGTTTCTGCAGCCACAAGCTGCGAGACGCCCCCGCAGACGCCCCCGCCCCCCACGGCGTCGCCAAGCCCAGCGAAGCGGTCTCAGATGGTCGACGCGGCGAAGAAGCTCGAGGCCGCGCTGGCAGCCGCGCCGGAAGGGCCAGGGCTCGAGGAAGCACGACGGCATCTCCAGGTCCAGCTCGACGCGAAGCGCAAGGAGCTTGGCGACACGCGGCCGCTCGGAAAGCGCCTCGACGGGGCCAAGGCGGCCCTCGAGCGCGCCTAGGCCCGGCAGGCGGCTGCGGAGGAGAGCCCCCAGCTCGCGCAGCAGCCCGCGCAGGTGGCGAAAACCGAAGCCGCCACGCTCCAGCAGAAGGTGCACACGCTGGAGATGCAGATCGCGGTGCGCAGGGATCCCCCCCAGACCTTCCTTGGCGAGCTCGGTGCGCAGTTTCTTGCGGCGGTCGACCAGCTCGCGGCGCTCGGCTCGATCTCTCCAGCTGCGGTGGACGAAGCCAAAGCGCAGTCCGACGCCATCTTGGCGAGGTTCCAGTCCACCCTGGAGTAAGCGCAGAACATCGACATCCCCCGGTGGATGCACGGCAAGAAGGCCCCCCAGGAGCGAGGGCCCGCTTGAATGGGAAGCAACGCGCCAAACGCGTGATGACCACCTTCGAGACGAGGGCCCAGAAGAAGAGGGCTGCTGGCTTCTTGGGGTTTTGTCGGAACACGGCGGAGACGCAGCAGAGGGCGGCGTAGCCAGTGATACTCTTGATGCAGCGCCGGTGCACTTCGCGCGCGCCACGGCCAATGTTGTAAGATCATTTCCTCAAGAGTTGTCTCGCTCGTATGCGCGAGTCAGCGGGGTCTGATTGCGCAGCAAGATCACCCTGCTGGAGCAACAGTTTTGCGAGCGAAGTCTGGATGTGGCTGGCATCCAGGAGGGTAGGTCCACCCACTCCGAGCGGACCGAAGGCCAGCATCACACAGCGTTGGCTGCTGCTGCGGAGGCGGGCGGCTCTCTGGGCGTCCAGCGCAGGGCGCATCGGCGCGCCAGCGTGTGTTTTTGGCACGCCGTATCTCCTCACATGTTGCATGCTGTCGTTCGCATTGCCTCTCTCGAGCTTGGCTTTTTAGTCGCCCATGCTCTGACAGAGGTCGTTCATGTTGGCACGCGCGTCGCGTGGTGGGCCGAGCTCGCCCGCGTCGCCCAGCAGATCCAGCGCTCTCACGACATCCCGTGGCTCACACTAGTTGATGCCAACGGAAGAGTTGGTTCGGTCGCCTCACCTGCAGTCGGGCCCAGCACCCCGGAAGCTGAAAATGAGAACGGTTCTTCGTTGCGTTTGTACGATGAGGATTTCCATTTCTGCACTCGCAATAAGTTGAGCATGAGCGGGTTCACATGGACCTCGATTCGCGCCGCGACGTCCCGCATCGATTACATTTTCGTGCCGGAAGAAATTCATGCACGCACTCAGTCTTGCGATGTAGATTACACCGTAGACCTCAAATTGTCGGCCAACGACGACCCCCAGGCAGTCGTCCTGCGAGCCAGCGCAGTGTCTGAAAGTCGCGCGCGCGACGCCCCCAGGTTTCCGCGTGGACAACCACCACGACAACGACCAGCAGCACCACCACCACCACGACAACGACCCGCAGCACCACCACGACCACGAGCAGGAGCACCACGACTGCGACCTGCAGCACGACGACTGCGACCAGCAGCACCACCACGACTACGACCAGCAGCACCACCACCTCCACGACCAGAAGCACCACCAGCACCACTAGCACAAGCAGCACCACCACGACTGCGACCAGCAGCACCACCACGACTACGACCAGCACCACCACGACGGCAACCAGCAGCAGCACCACAACGACCAGCAGCACCACCACCACGACCAGTAGCACCACCACGACGGCGACCAGCAGCCCCACGACTGCGACCAGCAGCGCCACGACTGCGACCAGCAGCACCACGACTGCGACCAGCAGCAGCACCACCACGACTGCGACCAGCAGCAGCACCACCACGACTGCGACCCGCAGCACCACCACGACCACGACCACGACCAGCAGCACCACGACAGCGACCGGCAGCACCACGACTGCAACCGGGAGCAGCAGCACCGAGACTGCGACCAGCAGCACCAAAACTGCGACCAGCATCACCAGCACAACCAGCACGACTACTACCACGACTGCGACCAACAGCACCACCACCACTACGACCAGCACCACCACGACTGCGACCAGCAGCAGCACCACAGGGACCAGCAGCACCACCACGACCAGCAGCACCACCACCACCACCACGACGGCGACCAGCAGCCCCACGACTGTGACCAACAGCGCCACGACTGCGACCGGCAGCACCACGACTGCGACCAGCAGCAGCACCACCACGACAACGACCAGCAGCACCACCACCACGACCGCGACCCGCAGCACCACCACGACCACGACCAGCAGCACCACGACTGCGACCAGCAGCTCCACGACCGCAACCGGGAGCAGCAGCACCGAGACAGCGACCAGCAGCACCACCACGACCAGCACCACCAGCACAACCAACAATACCACGACTGCGACCAGCAGCACCACCACGACTACAACCAGCACCACCACGACTGCGACCAGCAGCAGCACCACCACGTCCAGCAGCAGCACCACCTTGACCGCGACCAGCAGCACCACCACGACTGCTACCAGCAGCACTACGACTGCCACCAGCAACACCACGACCACGACCAGCAGCAGCACCACCACGACTGCCACCAGCAGCTCCACCACCACGACCAACAGCACCACCAGCACCACCAGCACAACCAGCACCACCACGACGGCGACCAGCAGCACCACCACTACTACGACTAGCACCACCACGACAAGCAGCACCACCAAAACCGCGACCAGCAGCACCAACACGACTGCGACCAGCAGCACCACGACTGCGACCGGCAGCGCCACGACTGCGACCAGCCGCAGAACCACTACCAGCACCACCACCACGACTGCAACCCGCAGCACCACCACGACTGCGACCAGCAGCACCAAAACTGCGACCAGCAACACCACGACTGCGACCAGCAGCAGCACCACCACGACTGCGACCAGCAGCAGCAGCACCACCACCAAGACCAGCACCACCAGCACAACCAGCACCACCACGACTGCGACCACCAACACCACCACGACTACGACTCGCAGCACCACGACTGCGACCAGCAGCAGCACTACCACGACCGCAACCAGCAGCAGCACCACCAACACGACCACGACCAGCAGCAGCACCACCACGACTGCGACCAGCACCAATTCCGACCGGCAACACGACCCCCAGCAACGACAGGCACCACCTGCAACGACCAGCAGCAACGACGCGCACCTGCACGACGACGCGCACCGACGACGCTCACCGCCCCTTCCCCTCGCCGTTCCCTCGGCCTCTTTCCCCTCGTCTCGGTCCCGTATCGTTCGCCCCCTGCCCCCGCGTCGTTCGCCCCTCGCCGTTCGGGCCCAGCTCGTGCCCCTCGCCTCCTCGTCCTCCGTCCCCCGCCCGCCCCACCCCCGCCTGGAGCCCAGACCCAGCCGCGCCTGCGAGACAAGGGAGCAGTGGCAGCAGGCTATGGCGCTGCTGATTCCCAAACTGGGGCCCAACGTCATCAGTTGCATCGCTGGGGCCAGCGCACGTGCGAAAAATGGGCAGCGGCAGTGGCAGCGAGCCAGGGAGGAGAGCGAGGCGGCAGAGGAGGAGATAGAAGAGGAGGAGATGGCAGCGGACGAGCAGGACCAGGTCGAAGAGAAGGAGGAGGCCAAGATAATCGCGCTCGACGTCAGTGGGCAGTGGCAGCGAGCCAGGGAGTCAGGACGTGGAGGAGGAGGAGGAGGAGGAGGAGGAAGATGGGAGATGATGGTGGAGCCAAGCGTCATCAGCTACAGCTCTGGGATCAGCGCATGCGCGAGAGGCGAGCAGTGACAGCGGGCTTTCTCACTGCCCAGCGAGATGTGGGAGGCGAAGGTGGAGCACTATAGCTCTGGGATCAGCACCTGCGCGAAAGACGAGCAGTGGCAGCGGGCTCTATCACTGCTCAGCGGGATGTGGGAAGTGAGATCGGAGCCGAATGACATCAGATACAGCCCTGGGACCAGCGCGTGTGCGAACGGCGAGCAGTGGCAGCGGGCTCTATCACTGCTCAGCAAGATGTGGGACGCGAAGGTGGAGCAAAGCGTCATCAGCTACAGCTCTGGGATCAGCGCGTGCGCGAAAGGCGAGCAGTGGCAGCGGGCTCTATCGCTGCTCTGCGAGATGTGGGAAGTGAGATCGGAGCCGAATGCCATCAGCTATAGCTCTGGGATCAGCCCTGGGATCAGCGCGTGTACGAACGGCGAGCAGTGGCAGCGGGCTCAATCGCTGCTCTGCGAGATTTGGGAGGCGAAAGTGGAGCCAAGTGTCATCAGCTACAGCTCTGGGATCAGCGCGTGCACGAAAGGCGAGCAGTGGCAGCTGGCTCCATCGCTTCTCTGCGAGATGTGGGAAGTGAGGTCGGAGCCAGATGCCATCAGCTACAACTCTGGGATCAGCGCGCGTGCAAACGGCGAGCAGTGGCAGCAGGCTCCCCCACTGCTCAGCGAGATGTGGGAGGCGAAGGTGGAGCCAAGTGTCATCAGCTACAGCTCTGGGATCAGCGCATGCGCGAGAGGCGAGCAGTGGCAGCGGGCTCTCTCACTGCCCAGCGAGATGTGGGAGGCGAAGGTGGAGCCAGATGCCATCAGCTATAGCTCTGGGATCAGCGCGTGCGCGAAAGACGAGCAGTGGCAGCGGGCTCTATCACTGCTCAGCGGGATGTGGGAAGTGAGATCGGAGCCGAATGCCAACAGCTACAGCTCTGGGATCAGCGCGTGCGCGAGAGGCGAGCAGTGGCAGCGGGCTCTCTCACTGCCCAGCGAGATGCGGGAGGCGAAGGTGGAGCCAGATGCCATCAGCTACAACTCCTGGGATCAGCGCGTGCGCGAACGGCGAGCAGTGGCAGCAGGCTCCCCCACTGCTCAGCGAGATGCGGGAGGCGAAGGTGGAGCCAAGTGTCATCAGCTACAGCTCTGGGATCAGCGCATGCGCGAGAGGCGAGCAGTCGCAGCGGGCTCTCTCACTGCCCAGCGAGATGCGGGAGGCGAAGGTGGAGCCAGATGCCATCAGCTATAGCTCTGGGATCAGCACCTGCACGAAAGACGAGAAGTGGCAGCGGGCTCTATCACTGCTCAGCGGGATGTGGGAAGTGAGATCGGAGCCGAATGTCATCAGCTACAG